ACTACTAGGAGCAAGAAGCTACTAGTTAACAAGGGCATCGCTACTAGCCTTCAGCTCTCCCGCTGTTTTGCAAGTTTGTGGCGCTCAAGGAAGCAAGTTGGGCCACTACCAAATCTGATTACGTACTGCGCCAGCATCAGTGCATGTGAGACTCTTGGAAGTTCTGGACCGTGTATTAACCTAACGCCTTTGCAAAATGCATTGAGTGTTCCCAGGTTCAACGTTCTGAGAATCAACCATTTTACAACATCGCGATGTTTGTCAGTATTGCTGCTATTGGAGCAGATAATCGGCCACCTTTGCTAGCTTTTGCGGGACATGTTATATAGAAATTAGAAATATATTGACGTGCACATGTCTCATTATTCAATCATTCAGGTATGTTCACACATTCATTTGCTCCAAGCGCACCAGTTTTGTCAATGGTGGATTTGCCACTAAATACACCTGCAGGGTCCGTTCAGCTGTTGGCTGTTGATGCCTTCCTCATGTTCCAAAAAGTTCTACGAAATAGCTGTTCATCCTGCTTCATTGACGCGACGTCAAGGAGAGCATCTCAATGGCATGCTGCAATGTGGCTCTTTGAAGAGCTGCAAGGATTGTGCGGTGCATAGAATCTGAGAGCAACCCAGTGAAAGATGGATGATTGATTCCAAAAGACTGCACCCAAGGGTGTTGTTTGCCAGCCAGCTGACACGCCGCACATACATGCACGCACACTCTGACATTGGTTTTCAGTTAATCTATTCCCAAGTGGAAAAAGGTGAGGGAACGGAAAGGTGGAAGAGAACGCAGAACAGTATTGTTTAACAGAAGGTTACGGTGACTGCAGAACACTAGTTACTGAATACTTAGCAGACCTAGGAAAGGAAAGAGTGAACCGAAAGGCGAAGAGTCCGAGTACTTGAAGGTGTTTTAACAAAGGTTGACGCGTGACTGCAGAAAACTAGTTACTGATTACTTGGCAGGTTGAATTCACGCCGTGCAAGGAAACCTGTTTTGGAGGATATCGTGTGAAGAACCACCATGGAATCAAACCAACAGCGGCAAGGGAAACCAGTGGAGTCATTGCGTTTGATGCAGGTACATGACAGTGGAGCGTCCTCCACTGCTTCAGCACCAACCGATACCCTCGTCGTTGGACGGGCAGTATCGGTGGTGACCTGCCCCCCTGCTATGACAAGTTGAAGCTCTTAGTTACAGAGGTGTGTCACAGAGTGCCGATATCGGCGCTCTTGAGGAACTTACTGTACTAAACACCTAAAAGCCTTAGAAAGAAAGACAAGGAAAAACAAAAAGAGCAAAAGAAGAGGGCAAGAGAGAAAAATAGGAGGAGGAGTGGTACGAGGCCCACTAGTTATGAAACCTTCTAGTTACTGAATACTTAGCCGAAATGAATTACATGCATTAGTTAGCGAGCGGGACTTTCGTCTTAAACCGCCCGGTTTTCTAGGAGTAGAAAAGGAGAAACAGAAGGAAAGGTGCCGACACACAAGTGTGTCGAGTACCATTTCCTTCTGTAACCCTAGATAGCGGGTGGGATAGAAACATGAATTCGGTTGCAAGGTGGGGGGGGTGCGTGGAGGTGCATGTGTGACACATATACATGGCCGTAAGCCCGGCGGCGTGAAAGGTGAGTCGCATGTGTGGCACATATACATGGCCGTAAGCACGGCGGCGTGGAAAGTGAGTCGAAAATGGACATGTCGAAGGAATTGGACAAAATGCGACATCAATCGCATGAATGCACCGGTGGAAATGTTGTCGTGGGCCCGACGGCATAGGGTTTTGGGAATCCCGGAGTGAAACAGAGTCCGTTAAGAGAATCCAACGTGTGCAGAACGGAAGAAAATCACTGAATGGTAATCCGGAATGAGGACAGCGCTCTCTTGCGGGAGATCACACCCAGCACCCAAGTGGGACGACTGAGCGGTTCACACTCTGACATTGGTTTTCAGTTAATCCATTCCCAAGTGGAAAAAGGTGAGGGAACGGAAAGGTGGAAGAGTCCGCAGAACAGTATTGTTTAACAGAAGGTTACGCGTGACTGCAGAACACTAGTTACTGAATACTTAGCAGACCTAGGAAAGGAAAGAGTGAACCGAAAGGCGAAGAGTCCGAGTACTTGAAGGTGTTTTAACAAAGGTTGACGCGTGACTGCAGAAAACTAGTTACTGAATACTTAGCAGACCCAGGAAAGGAAAGAGTGAACCGAAAGGCGAAAAGTCCGAGTACTTGAAGGTGTTTTAACAAAGGTTGACGCGTGACTGCAGTAAACTAGTTACTGATTACTTGGCAGGTTGAATTCACGCCGTGCAAGGAAACCTGTTTTGGAGGATATCATGTGAAGAACCACCATGGAAACAAACCAACAGCGGCAAGGGAAACCAGTGGAGTCATTGCGTTTGATGCAGGTACACAGTGGAGCGTCCTCCACTGCTTCAGCACCAACCGATACCCTCTTCGTTGGACGGGCAGTATCGGTGGTGACCCGTCCCCCTGCTATGACAAGTTGAAACTCTTAGTTACAGAGGTGGACACACACACACGTAGTGTACTGTACATAATTATTTTTAAAATAACTATACATATATATATATATTTAAAATAACTATACATATAAATATATATATATTTTTTTAATGTAATATTTGTAATGCGTCCATACTCGCGACTGACAAGAGGACAATCCTTTGTGCCAAACCTGATCGCTTACAGTGCCACAATCAGTGCTTGTGACAAGGGATCGTTGTGGCAGCGCCTGGGATGCAGATGAGATAGTGTGTTTCGAGGGCATCATTGCAAAATACAGGAGCGTTCAAACGTGGATTTGATGTCCTTTGGCTGGGTCCATTTTTCTCCTCGGCGTCCGCCTGCTTCACACTGAGGCAAGCGCTTTGGCATTTAGAAGAATCTGGCTTGCTTAGTGTGATGCATGCAAAGTGTTGTTTCTAATGTGGGAAGTCATACTATGTTTCAATACGTATTTTTTTAAAATATGGTTTCCATCATGGAGGACCAACTTTTGTTTCCAGCTCGTGGAGTTCAGCCCAGGAATTGACACAACGAGGGTTCGAAGCTGATGCAATAATTTGCAGAAGTTGCATTAGTGCATGCAAGAAAGGGTCTCAAGGACAGTTGGCACGCATGATCGGAAAAGGAGGATCAACCATGCAATGCTACGGCATGCCATTTTGTTACGTTGTTTTGTTGGGGGCACATGGGGGTTCGATCCTTGAACAGGTTGTGCGTGTTCCTTTTGTGCTTGGAATCGTCTATTTTGATTTTGCCCCTGCCATCAAGGCCTGAAGGCTGCATGAATTGCTTGCACTATGGCAAAGCATGGAGAAGCTATTGCTAAGTAGTGATAGATGATTTCGACACACATTCCAGACCCTGCCAAACTACTCAAACCCTGATAGTCCAATTGAGTTTGACATTTAGCACTGTCCTCCAAGCAGATGTTAGCACACAAGGGCGGTTACTGTATTATAGCTGCAAGGGCTCGACCAAGCTGGACCTGACCTGGATAGCAGCGCTCTGTCCACTTGGCTCCAACCCATTGGACCAAGACTGTCTCAGTATATCACCAAACCACTAGATCGGGCACCACAAATGTACTTAGCCGGGCGTGACTGACCATGGCCACAACACACGGGGGTCTACCTGCACCAGCGTTCCAACGTGGCGAAACTCCAGTCAGATGCTAAGATTCAACTATATTCTGCTGATGGACTGATGGACTAGCATATGTGCAGACCACGGGCTGGGACCCAGGCTGATGAGAATAGAACTACTTGATTCTTGATTCTTTCTTGTTTGTTGTTTACATGGCAAACCAGGGCCACAGGATTCCGCAGGCAGGGATATCGTCATTGTGCTCATGCAAAATCCTTGGAGCCAGGCTTTCCAGTCCCATGTCCAAATCCTTGATGCTAATGCTAAGTTCTTTCACGTGTTTTCTTTGGCCCCCGTTTATACAAACTCTACAACATGGCCAACACAAGCCGACCTTTTGAGTTTTAACGGGGATGCATTTGTACTTCAGGAGCAGTGGAGAGTTGAGCAAACCCAGAGTAATCTTGATAATCAAAACCCTTGCAGCCAGCGCAGAAAAGCATTTGTGTCTCAGCAACCAATTGAGCAGGCCCGGCAATTCATAAGGGAAAACTTTGCCTGGATTCACCGTATTCGTTGCCATTGGTAACGGTTACGCTACAGGTTTGCAGCATTTCCCGTTGTTGGGGTTGGGTGAAAAGTGGGCTTCCCCCATGTTGCTGTACGTGGTAGTAAGTGTATGTATATATATATATATATTTTTTGTCATATTTCATGTCTGTTTATAGATGACACATGCACGGCACACCCGATGTGTATATATAATATATATATATATAATTAACTATATGTTTTAAGCAATATTTACACGTCTTTTGTCCAGTCAAAAGATCAACAAGACCTGGGGCTCCTTTTTGTGAATGCTACCACCCGCAAAAGACTATTTGACACAAGTTCTATTCAGAGCGCATGCCGATGATGTTTTTCTTATGAGTGACGTTTTTTGCGAACAGCATGAGCGGCCTTAGCTTAACGTGTGAACACTTCATATACGAGATTTGCGGGGCTTTGCCTTGTGAGGGTGCAGCTTTTTCCTGACAAACCTTCTCATCCAAAAGGCACAAGGTGAGGATCAGATAAGGAACGTCACAAGGCACAGAAACATGCACCTAAAAACGACCCCAATTCCGTTCACCAACGGAAAACACAATCCTTCCGTGACCACATCCTTATCAAACCAAATCACTATATCCATCTAAATCCTGATATTTCTCGACCAGTTTTTGAGCATTACCTGCACTACTGACCCATGTCTAGGCTATATACTATAGATTTGAGGAGCAGACATGCTGGAAATAATACTTGTAGATTGCGCATGCCCATGCTCCCTCTGCAATGCAAAGGGCTGTGTCAATGTCATTTCACAGTCCATCGTGCGGCTTTGTGTTGCAGCCAGCGACTGAGGCTCTTCAGCTGAGTGGTAGGCGTGGCGCAGATGCTTTCCATACTTTTGGTAAGTAAACATTATCTATACAAAGCGGAGGCTTGTTTGCTGGGCTTTGTTCCAAAATGTAGCTTGAAACCATTCGAACTGAAACCGCATTTAAGTCAGTTAAAAGGCAGAGTAGCTAGAGTAGCTATGCAGTTTAACTGTGGAACTGGGTTTTGGGTTTGGCAAGGCGTAACTTGCGCTTTCCGCCGAACCGTGATGTCCTACGACCGCGGGGGGCTGCACCAAAAGGAGCTCTCGTGAATGTGTCCCTGAGCCGTTCTAGAAATGGTGTGCAAGCTAGGCCTAGGCATGGCTCTGCCAGGGCGAGCTGGTTTTTGTCCCTCCAGGACTGCCACTTCCCTTTGCACGAAGTAGCAATCGTGGCCTTCCTGGCTTGGTTTTGCAGCTGAATGACAAGAGTTGTTGCTTAAAGTCTAATCGGAATTTATATGAAGCAAGACAGAGCAATCACGAATAAACCTCAACAAGCTTGTTCGCCGTGACAGGCACTGGGTGGGTCTTGGTTTTGACGTTTCTCTCGTCGGCCGTGGCCAACAGAGTTGCCAATCGCATCCTTTTGGCTGGGTTTCCCAAGCGCATCGCCGGAGTTACGAAGGTCATGAGCCGCGCGGAGCTGGAGCGCACTTGTTTTGATTGCGCTTAGCAGATGGTTTTGACTTCACAACCAGCGCAGATCTTCAACGAAACAATCTTGGACATGTTACTGTATACAAGGGGTGCGGTTACAGCATATAGATCCGCAAGACAAGGATGTGTATAGTATAAAATCGTGGCTGTCCTACTCAAGGTCCCCATGGCTAAGCACAGCTTGTTTCTTTCATTGGCCACCAGTGCTGCCCAGTGGAAGCCTGAGTTGAGAGCAGAAGATGTGGGAAACATATTAGCCCCAGTTGTCTACCTATTGATGAGTATGAACATGGATGAACACGGCGGCCGTTTTTGTGGAGATGACGCACGAAGGTTGCAGGCAATGATTGATGCTTGCAGTGTATGTGCGCTGCTCTAGGAATCATTGTGGGAAGCCTCTCCCAGGACTCATTCGCACTGTTAGTTTTGGTATGTTTTGGTGCAGTGGGGTTTTGAGGTTGGCTGCTTATGCCCTGCTGCTTCTCAGCCGTTCCTGGCAACAGCCTTCTGGTCGTGTGGATGCCAAGGATCAGAAGTATTGTTTCAACTGGACCCCAGAATGACCACCTACATACTTCAATACTCCCTGGCACCCTGGTGAGGTAGGTGTTCTGGCACCCCTTGTGAATTTAATTTCCTAATTATATAATTGTGGCCATCCAACCTCTTGCGGTAGACATAACTGTCTTTGGTACATCAACTTGACATTTGTTTGGTCTCATGCTTCGGATAGCGCCCCCGAATTGGTCGTCAGATGTTGTTGGCCACTCCCTGCCTTGCTAGTTCTGATAACTTCACACATGTCGCCTCGTTGCGGTTTGTGTGCATCCCTCCTCTCCACAAGATCAGCTTCAGGTCCGTTTCTCCTTTTCGTGGCCGATTTCTGGATTCCTTTGTTCCTGACTGGGCTGTGTGGGGACCCTGGAGATCCAAAGCACTCAAGTGTCTTGTAGCATGTCCTGACTTCTATGGCACAGGTGAGGGGTGCTTTTATCCCTTGGTTTTTTCAGCAGCAGCGAAGTTGCCGGGCGGTTTGGTCCAGGCCGGGGTACAAACATCCATGTCAATGACACGAATGTCTTCGTTGCATCATGCTATGCTTCAAGTGCGGCAATTGCAGATTGCATGCATCCTTCATGCTTAGTGAACATATGTGAACATATGTGAATACAATAAACTCAAGTATATAGCCCAATCTTTGAAAGATGTTCTTGGATATCCCCTGCATGAGCCGCGCCTTTTTTCGACCCAGCCCGCTTTTGCAGGTCTTGAACCAGTCCATTGTCCCGTATACTGTTCTTTTCAGTGTGATGTCCTGAGATTGGGACCATGCCAGTCAGCAAAGTTTTGATGAAATCGGACGCTGTTAACTTGAAAATGCAAAAGAATGCCATTGGTCGCTTCTTTGATTCCCTCACCGCATGATCGGCTAGGCGCTCCTGATGGGCCGTTCCTATGAGCCTTTGCAGCTGTTGGGAGCAATAGGCCCAGAATCATGCAGTTTTCATCTCTGGGATTGCAGGGCACCAAGAGGTCATGAAGTGCATAGGAAATCTGCAGATCCACATTGGTCCTGCAATCCTCCAGACGTACAGCGAGGGAGATGCGCAAGCACAAATACTAATATATTATATAATATACTGTATATAATATATATATATATATTACTATTTATAGATATACGGTATACACATATACATATGTAATTCTATAAGCATACAGAAATATAACTGTTCAATGTTGAAGAAGTCAAAGCATGTCAAAGCATTTTTGCAAGATCAGTGGCAATCCTTGAGGTTGCTGTGGTTCTACTTGGCGTCCTGTTTGCTGTGGGGATGCCCCTTGGTTGGGCTCCTAGGGCAGTGGAAATGCAATGAGACACTCACCAGAAGAGATACTGTAGAACAACGAGGTTGGCTTTTCTGAAAATTCGATAGGACAGGCCAGACAAGCCGTGGATGTTTAGGTCCGAAAGGCAGACAGGAAAGTGAGCAGATCACTTGCATTCACTTGCTGAAACTTGTTGAAAATTATCCCGGCCAGAGACCCCAAACAGTGTGTGAGGTCTACACGCAGAAAGTCTAGAGATCTAGACGCATTGGGGTCCAGAGAGGGGTTGGTGGTGATGAAGGTGGGGATCGTGGTGACGGTGGCGGTGGTGGTGAGTGAGTGTGAGTGTGAGTGTGAGTGCGAGTGAGTGTGGATGACAGTGAGTGTGAGTGCGAGTGAGTGTGTGAGCGCGAGTGTGTGTGGATGAGAGTGAGTGTGAATGTGAATGTGAGAGTGGGTGAATGTGAGTGTGAGTGTGAGCGTGTGTGAGTGAGTGAGAGCGAGGGTGAGAGTGAGAGAGTGAGCATCTGAGAGCACAAAGTGCCGCGCCTGCCACGAAATCTGCACTTCGAACGAAATCTGCACGTCGAGGTTCACCAAGTGCTGCACCTGCCACAAAATCTGCACTTCGGGGTTCACCAAGTGCTGTACCTGCCACGAAATCTGCACTTCGAGGCTCACCAAGTGCTGCACCTGCCACGAAATCTGCACTTCGAGGCTCACCAAGTGCTGTGCCTGCCACGAAATCTGCACTTCAAGGTTCACCAGCCGAGTGCTGTGCCTGCCACGAAATCGACTTTGAGGTTCCCCACAAGTGCTGTGCCCGCCACGAAATCTGCACTTCGAGGTTCACCAAGTGCTGCGCCTGCCACGAAATCTGCACTTCGAGGTTCACAAAGTGCCGTGCCTGCCACGAAATCTGCGCTTTGAGGTTCACAAAGTGCTGTGCCTGCCACGAAATCTGCACATCGAGGGTCACAGAGTGCCGTGCCGTGCCTGCCATGAAATCTGCAAACGAACCACATGTGCAAAAGTCACGATTCACTGCACCTGTCACTGCACCTGTCACGAAATCTGAGCTCCTCGACAATCACCACTGTGTCCAAAGTGCTGCACCTGCCACGAAAACTTCATTTCGAAGTCAAACACCTCCGATCCCTTGCACTTGTCACTAAAAGTCGGCTTTGGAGCACCAAAGCACGAGATTTCCCTTGTGCCTGCCACGAAAAGTGATCACCATGTGCGAAAATGTGCACGACGGCATCACAACGTGAGCGCAGTCGTTAGAAGCACCCGCCGCGGACGCCCAGATTCAGCGAGCCTGCGCAGTCGAAATGCACATTCACGATGTCGAGAGGCATGAATGTACTTTAAATAGCAGCGAATTAGCCGCACACGCCCGCACGCTTCAGCGATCTAAGTATCAGCTGCTTTTCTCCTACCGTAAGAACCCCTAGTGTGTCCACACTGTTTGGGGAAAGAAGGTAAGTTAAGAACGGCCCCCTTTCAAGGGCTTGTTAAAGAGGTTATTGACTTCTTATTTTCCTCTCGTTTTGCGACAGATCAACGACACTTGACCGAACATTGGTTGGAGAAGCGCTGCAGCCGCTGCACGGTGAGGCGCCCTTAGTTTGCAAGGTGGCGTCTGGCAGGTGAGAGGGCCACAGCTGTAGCATGTGTATTCGCTGGGCGATTTGCAATCAAAACAGTCCTTCACTCTTTCACAGAAGGTTGAGTTCGTGTTTCGAAGAAAACACTGCAATTGGCAATTGAAGAATTGGATCTATGGAGGTCATGTTTAAGCATAAATAATGCACACAATTCATTCAACATCATTCAATAACGATATTAACTTGTCCATGGGCATTAAGAAGGGTCCTAGGCTTCAGGTTTTGCAACATGTTCTTCATTTGTTTTGAGTTTCACTGTCCGTTGTGACAGTTTGTGTTTCCAAGTATGGGGCCTGATGTGTGCGTGTGTGTGGTTGTGTGCAAAAGTGTGCATTGTTTATTAACTCTATATATAATATACTGTATATTGTTTTTCGCGTTAGGTAGGTGCTGGTACTTCGCAATTATATGCATAAATATGCACATGCAACAGAAAGTGACCTCGGCATCTTATGTTTCGTCGAGGGATTTGTATAGTGCTGTTGGCTGAGTGACATGTTCAAGATTGGCACACAAGCCTTGCTTGACTCAAGTGACAAGAGTTGCTGGTCTCTCTCAGTCTCCAGTTGCTAGCACAACTGACGCGCTCTGTGACTGGTTGCTTTGAGAAGATCCCTTTTGACCAACATTGCGGCCAGGATGTGCTGCAGTGCACTGGCCGGATCCACAGGTCACACTGAGTCACACGTAGCATTTTGGCTGTTGCCTACAGTAGTCAGTGCAAATCCTTCAAGTCACACGTGGCTCTGTGAGTGTTTGCTGTGCCATGCTGTGTCCTACATTGGTACCTTTGCTATGCTTGCATTGTCGAACTGATGCCGTCTAAGACGTTTTCAAAACACGCAGTAGGTGGGGTTGGAGCATTCTTACCCTTTTAAGGTGCCTATTCCTTGCTTGCCATGGGGGTGACCTTGAAGGCGACGAGTTTTCGGATCATAGTGGAGTTCAGGCCAAACAATCTTCGTAATCATGTCGTCATGCAACGCATTTACTGTACATGTTGCAGTCGACTCTGCTTGAACTTGTTTCATGCTGGCAGCTCGAGATTGTCATGCTGCAAGGATCTAGTTTTCAAGCAGTCGCAGACTGGCGAGGCCGTGACCAAAGCAACTACCGGTAGCGTATTGTTTGATGATGGAGTTGCATAATCTTGTTTTCAGAGTGGTACTTGTAGCCTGGATTTGCCACGAGTACCCGAAGCAACTTGAAGGTTTGGGGCAGTTTGCATAGTAGGCAATACGCTTGCTTTGTGGCTCTAGTATGACGTATCAAGATGTATCAAGGCCCTTTTTATGATTTGCTTTCGAGGCAAAGCAAAGAGTTGTCAAACGTTTCTGTTTGGACAAGTTTTTACATTCTGTGTGGCCGAATGCGCAAGATACATCAACATCGCAAACACCCTTTCCATCTAGGCTGTTTGGAATGTGTACGCAGAAATTCCTGAGCAAAAAAAAGTAAAAACATTGGTTGAGCCAAGCTCTTTTTCTCAAGGACCTTCATCACTCCCTCAGTGGCTTCAGTTCAGCAGGTTTGATTTCAGCATGAGGCCTCCTCCGATAACTCATTCCGACATATTCCCGATCCACTACGAGCTTCCAATTGCCCAACTACTTTGTATATAGTACCACAGTTAATGGCGCTGCTGAACTTAATTGTAGCAGCATTGCTGTCCAATTGCCTTGCGATTCTTGGCAGCATTTTAAGGTTACGAGCCGACATTGTGACTTTGGACTTGAAGAATGAACGTGTTTTGGTAGGTTTGGCACAAGGTGGTGGAACACATGAAATACACAATGCTTTTTCTATTGTTTCTTCAAGGATTGAACCACTAGGGTGGGGTGGGACACACACACACACACACATGCGCAGACTGAAGTAATTCCGCACGTTTCCGCACATGTCCTAAGGAAAGGGAGCAAACCCAGAAAGCGAGCCGAGGGCGCCTTGGGTCCTGGTTCGGAAGCGTTGGACCGTGAAGAGGCTGAAGAGCTTCTGAACCAGCCGGCACCTCAGGACGTGTGAGAAGAGTGCTTTGAAGTGTTTGGTCATTCTTCTTCGGACTTTCTTTCTGTTTCCTGAAGAAGACTACAGTACTTCTATTATCTTCATGTCTCTTCTATTTATTGTTTTTCTATTATGCTAGTAACTAGTATAGAATATTCAGAATATATATAATAGACGCCAGTATTCTGTATTCTGCTTCATTCTTTTGTTTGTTGTGTCCTTCGCGATTTTTTCTTCCTGTTTGTGCTCCTACTTAACTACTTCAGGAGGAAGAACGTATCGTTTTTCCTTTATACCGGTTCTTACAATTAGGAAGGCCGTTTCAATTTCGCGTGGCCAGAGTGGGGACGGTTACTTATCACCCGCTTTTGCATTTACAACATTTACGACTTAGGAACTTTGCAGGGAGGAAATTTGACAGTGCAGTGTGAGGTGGCATAAGATGCATGGGTGTATTGTAAGGTTTAGACAGAAAGGGTGTTCACGTTGAAACCTCGAAGAAGGACTCTTTGTGCTGGTGATGTAATACTTCATGCTCAGGCTGCTGAAGGCAACCGAGACAGAGTCTGGAGGCTAGACCTCAATGCCTAACACATATCGTAAGCATGGGAATGAGGTGGATGGGATTCTGTGGTAAGATAGTCTGAGTGCCTAATTACCAATGGAAGCTGAGTGTAAGGGGCTGCTCCAGGCTGCTGGTTGCAGCACGTTACATGCTGGTCCTTAATTGATCACCTTAATTTCTATGCTAATATTGTACAATAATTATAGTCTTATGTTCATTCTATTTATAATTGTTTATTGTTCCCAATAGCTTCTTGCTCCTAGTAGTAAGGCCAGGAGCCCCTAGTAGCGTCCTTGTTCCTAGTAGCGATGCCTCCTATGTACTTTCCGTTGTGTCAATTTTCCAAGGTACAGAGGAGGCTTTAGCCAGGAGACCGTGCCAGTGTGGCGGTGTGAGGCTTGCGATTGATTCTGACATAGAAATACCACGTTGGTTTTTGTGTTTGTTAAGCTGCGTGTAATGATTTAGGGGGCGTTAATAATATGTTTATATAAATAGGATAGAATATGCCTTTGCAAACCCATAGGCTAGACTTGACTAGAGATTCTTTTAGGAGGGTGATGCCCTGCGGAGACGTGGTGCTCACCTCGCTTGCTCGGCTTGTGGCGTGGCTACAATCGCGATGTGCTGGAGTTGGGAGAGGAAGACTGTACATGAAAACAGATGAATCGCATGAAATGCAGGTAGCTAGAAAACATAACAGTATTGTGGATGAACTTGCCCGGTTCATGCGGACGAAAGAACATTGGCCCAATGATCAACGGACGCCATGGATTTCAATGTGCAAGAAATGTTTTGAGCAGACAAAGGCTTGATGAGTGTTGAGTGTTGCGTCTCAATCCTTTTGCTGTCTCCAATTGCCCAACTGTTGTGTCCCCTTCTTTGCACTTTACTCAGTTGGCTTGTCTCAAGTCTCACGATCATCCAGCCTTTGATCCTCAGACAGTTTTGTGACTTTGTCGTCCCTTGGCTCACAGCCAATGATTGGGCTGTGGTGCTGAGGCAAGCTTGCAGCAAAGCGTTGCTTGGATTACGTTGGTTTGATGTTATTTCATAGCTGCTAGCTGCATGTGAGTTTAATTGTTTCTTTTGCCAATGTAGCTGACCTGATAGATTCATACGGCTATTTCCTGATGGGTCCGGGCTTTCATAGAGTTGACAGATATGTTTGTTTCATCTTTTGTGGCTTGAATAGAGTCACATTTTGCTATCATTTCAGCGGCCAAGCTGATTTAGCTGGATATGCTCAAATCATGCAGGATTTCAAAGCAAAGTTGCAAGCAAGATCAAAGGCGGTGGAGTGGAGAGCATATTATATATACAGTTAATCGAGATCAGATCCAGTTCACCTTGAGTTGCAACATGGGGACATGAGATCCAGTATTCTGTTTCTACTCAGTGGCTGAAGGTAAGCATGGTTGGCCTGAAAGACTTTGGACTTGAAAACCTTTGCTTTTGTTTTCTGCAAGGATCAGTCGTTATTGGCCTACGTAGTAACGAGTCCACGCCATTTTCTTGCCAGTTTGTGCTTGTCGGTGTCGTCAGTTGATTTTTCAGGGCATTTTGGGTTCCAAAGCGTTCTGACAATCCTTACATGTTGCTTTTGTGCAATTCCTGATGATTCGTGCGGTTAACAATTCAACAGGCAAGATGACGGAAGCAGAACGTCGCTCTCTTTTCCGCCGTGGCCTGAAGGAGGCCTGTGTGGCCGAGCTTTTTCCGCAGCAGATGGCGGTGGAACCTTGGATTGGAGTGGCAGTGTACTACGCTCTATTGAAGATCTTGCAAGCGCGTTCATAGTCCAACTGTCTCTGGGGTACTTTCATTGGGTGGTGAATCATGGCAGATGATTGAGGATAAAGGCTGCCGAAGCATCACCACTGAAGTACAGAGACCCCAGCATCCCCAAGCACCGAGGTGGAGAAAGCGGGGCAGGAGTTTTATGTCGATTTTCAAGAAGCATTGGGCAGCCAGCATGGCAGGGTCAACGTTAAGGCTATGAGCCCAGAAATTAAGGCTCGCCACCTGCATCATGTGAAGTGGCAATTTGCAGTTGACAATTGAAACACATGCTGAGCATGTTGACTTGGCAGGAAGACGCCATTGCGGGATGCCGTCACGTGCTGGCACAGTATTCTGACAACCTTCTCAAAAAGGCATCCAGCAGTACTGAGCTATACTGAGCTACTGCTCCAACTTCAAGTTGCATATGCCTGGTGTAAATTTTTGGTGAATGAACTCTGGCATCTGGCTTTTGTCACAATTTGTGGAGGTTCTATCTATCCCAAGAGGTTCTCGCGCATCGGAGTTGGACTTCTCTCAGCTCTTGTGCGGGCGAGAAATGGCTAGCGTGCTTTGGCAAAGCCCAACGTTCAAAAACAGACCGTGTGCTGTTTATATAAATTCTTGCGGTTGCAGGGCGGTTGTCCTGCTAGTGCTTGGGCACCATTTCCTTTGAAGGTATGCGATGATGAATCAGAAGATGGCGATGATGAACTCTAAGAGCAGGTAGCTTCAGAGTGGGCCAAAGAGCCACTGTGCTAATATGTGCAACACATTTAAGATCAATTGCAGCAAACATAAGGACTTCGTCACAAATCGGCGACTTCCAGCATGACAGAGTCAGAGCTTGAAGAAAATTGACCTGTAAAGTGGGTGTTCAGGGCCGTCACCCTTTGTCTCGAACAAAATCTGCAGCAATTGACCACTTGATGTTCTCACAAAGTGATCTGAACCAGGTTCAGATGCCTCAAGACCTTATTATTCTAACAGTTTGCGCAGCTTGTGCAGCAGTTCAAATTTCGGCTACATTCTCAGAGTGTCTCAGAGTGCTTTGGTGAAGTGTTTGCAAAAAGATGTAATTATATGTAATTAATGGACCGCGGCACGCGTTGATATTTGGGCAACAGTGTTCATCATCTCATTTAGTCCCTCTCAGCGCTGTCGTTTTGCTATGTTCTTCATTGTTGGATCAGTCGTTCAATGATCCATTCACTCCTGGCATTCTTCGCAGCAGCCGGCATGCTGATGGTAAAAAGGAAGAGAGGAAACCATTGCAGAATTACATAAGTCTTTTGGCACTTTAGGTGCAGCTGCTGGCATTTCCCCTGGCGGTGCCGGAGCTGGAGCAGCGTAAACGTCTAATCTCTGTGCAACTCTCAGCTGCGGTTTGTGCTGGAGTCCTTCAGTCTAGACTCACGATGGAGATTTTGCTTGCTACTAGTAGCTTCCTTGTTCCTAGTAGTAAGGCCAGGAGCCCCTAGTAGCTTCTTGCTCCTAGTGGCGATGCCAGGAGCCCCTAATAGCATCCTTGCTATTACGTGCAAAATAGAACACTTGCCACCGCAAGACTGACGTGGCCCTGTCTAAAGGCTGGATGGCACAGCCTTTTGGGAGCCTCAGCACCAGCAGCTCCATGGTGCCACGCTCAGATGTGAGAACAGGTCAGAGCCAGCAGCAAAGCAGCTAGATTGTATAAGCTATGCTTGGTTGAGCACAGAGCCACTCAGTGAACTGATTAGAAACACCAGCAAAATTGGGGAAGCCAGAGTCAGTGTTAGGCCGTTTTAGTTTGCAAAGCGGGCGGGGCTGCGGGATGAGGATCGCATTGACATACTGGGCGTCCAGGACCTAGTTTTCTTCGTGCATGCTGTGATTGGTGGATACTCGTGCGCCGGGCCAGAGTATGGGTTCCCTGTGCATTTCTTCTCTACTGTGCATTGTGTATTTTCCCAGACTGGTTTCGCTGGAGGTGCTTGTTTGAATCCATGTTCTTGACCCTTCCCATGACATTCATGTTCATGAAGGTCATGCTGGTCATGCGTGCACGCTCAGCCTGCTTTTGCTTCAAACATTTTGTCAACCGGCAGCATGGACACAGTTCAGGGAGACTCTGGACTCTGGCAGGTGCAACGTGGCCTTCAGCCTTTGCACCTTACGACTTGTGCGAAAAGCTTCAGCGGCCACAGTGGTTTTGGCCAATGCTCGGTGCTGAATGGTGTACCAGTACTGGGAGAAACTCTCTAGATTATATGCAGGCCAACTATGATCAACTAACCAATGCAGCTGTTGTGCATCAGACGTGAATTTGCCTTCGAGCTCATCTCCCACAACTCCCTTGACTCTACAAATGAGTTATCACGAAAGCCAGCCGGTAGGCTGGGCTTGAGGTTGTTTGGGAGCGAACGAAGTGAGTAAAGGGGGTGTGGGGGGGTGGTTGCGTGGTGGCGAATTTCGGAGAGGTGAACCCAGAGGCGGGCCACTTGGCCGCTGCAATCGCTTCTCTCTCAAGCCCCCAACCCCACCACATAGGGAGTGCCCTCTTCAGTCTGGTTCTCTCGCAGGCCCTCAACAGATGGCATCACGCATGCCTTTTTCAGTCCAGCAACTAGACCTTGCTACGAATAAACAACCCTTAAGCTATTCAGGGCCTTCCGCCGGCCTCCAACACTTGCCCACTGCAATCTCTTGTGAACTCTCACCACATAGGGAGTGCCCTCTGCAGTTCGGTTCTCGCAGGCCCTCAACACCATGTGGGGCGCCTTTTCAGACCAGCAACTAGACCTTCCTACGGGAAAAAAGGGCACCCCTAAGCTATTCAGAACATTCTGTCTCCAACGCTTGCCCGCTGCTGCAATCGCTTCTCTCTCCTACCGCCATAGGGAGTGCCCTCTTCAATCCGGTTCTCTTGCAGGCCCTCAATCAGATGGCATCATGCAAATCAGATGGCATCATGCACCCCATGTGGGGTGCCTTTTTCAGTTCAGCAACTCGACCTTACTGCGGATAAAAGACGGCGCTCCGAAGCTATTCAGGGCCTTCCGCCTCCAACGCTTGCCTGATGCAATCTCTTCTCTCTCCTGCCTTCACACGTGAACTCCAATACATGCAGGGGCCCTCTTCAGTTCGGTTCTCTGGCAGGCTCTGAACAGATATAGCATCATGCACCCAATGTGGGGTGCCCTTTTTAGTCCAGCAACTAGACCTTGCCACGGAGAAAAAAGATGAAAAACGGACACCCCTAAGCTATTCAGAACCTTCTGTCTCCAACGCTTGCCCCCTGCCCCCAACCCCACCACGTAGGGAGTGCCCTCTTCAGTCCGGTTCTCCCGCAGGCCCTCAACAGATGGCATTGATGCACCCCATGTCAGGCGCCCTTTTAGTCCAGCAACTAGACCTTGCTACGGATAAAAAAAGGGCGCCCCAAGCTATTCAGGACCTTCCGGGACACTCCCTGTGCGGTGGGAGTTCAATGGACCATCGTCTTGAATTTGTACAATCTCCTTGCTGTACCAGTCACATGTGTCATCTTATACAATTATTGAACTATACATTCCACGTTGCATCCATACCACAGAGGTTAGCAGTTTGGCACCATTTGAAGTGGCCAGCTGTTGCTGGAAACCATAGCACTTACTCCGAACTACATTCCAAGCTTACATGAGAACAAGGGGATATCTAATCACGAAAGCCAGCCGTCAACCCACTTGAAACATAGACCAACACACCATGCCCAACCTTCCCCAGACTCAAGGGTGCCCTCTTTCCCCTCCACAACGCCCCGGCATCGAGACGCAAAGGGGCACCCATCCGAAACCTCTGTATTCTACTCTCTCTTTCCATTCTTTTTCGACTGACGGCCATATCCACTTCACCACGAAAAAGGGCACCCCCCCTTTTTACTTCTACAGTGTGTTTTTACCTTCTCGCGTACTTGCGATGCCAACTTCACCCCATAAACGTACTCTTTACATGATGTTAGCCTATCACTTCATCTTGCACACTCAAGTCGCTCCAATATCAAACTCACGACTTCCGGCTACTCTTTGTCCACTCTACCTATATCTCTTTTTCTCTCTCTCCTCACCTACCCTACCCATTGCCTCGCACATGAACCCCCACCACCGTCTCTGCTCACAGTTCGCAACACGCCGCCGGCAAGCGCCCCTCACTTCCTGAAGGGGTGCCCTTTGCCCTTTTTCACCTCCAACTCCTCCCGGAACCGGAGCGAAAAAGGCCCCCCCCCAGACCTATGTTTTCTAATTACTTTCAAATTCTACCCCCTATCGGTGTCGCTGCGTGGCTGCGATATGAACTTCGCCCCATGACATTACTCTTTGCCCGATGTTACCCCACCACTTCCTGTTGCACACCAAGTCTTTGCCCGGCCTTCCCTTGAGAGCACCCCCTAAGCCAGAGGCTGGCCTTCGTCCCCTCCCTTCTCAGGTATATAATTATATCAATGATCTATATAGTTGTCCAAGTGTGGGACTACTAGTGTAGTGGGTGTGAGTAGATTTTTTGCCGCAAAGTGACAAAGTGAGTGCGTAATGCACCAAATTGGACAGCGGGGCTCGTTGCTCACTGAGCCAAGCTTCTAAGGTTGCAGCCTTGCCACTGAGCGTCCCCACCTTGGGGGACGTCTCACAGGAGATTTGGGTATATAGGACTATTATAGGAGGACAATGAGGACTGTGGGTTTCAAGACAAAGCATTTTGCTTGTGTTTCAGGGCACTGTGACATGGTGTAACAGTGTGACTGCCCTGACAATGCAAATTATCAGTAGAAACCTCGTTGAGTACCGTTTCCGCTGAATTTTACCGCTGGCCCAGGCGCTAGTTTTCTGCTGCCCTCTTCCACTGCTGGAGAACGAACCCAAGTAAGAGCGGGCTCAGCTGTTGAACATGTTGGACTGTCGGAGGAATATGACCTTAATATAAAATGTGGGTTTCATGACAAGGTATCACTGATCACTGCTGATCAATGATACAGATGTCAGCCCAAGGCGACAGCCTTTCCGGTGGTCGTTTGCTTGTAGTTTGATCTTAGTCGCGGACTTAGCATAACTTAGCTTTGTTTTTGAATCCTGAATGTCCATAGACATTGCGGAATAACATTACTCCAACGGTTGATTGTAGTATCTTGTAGTGTTGTGGCATTTGAGCGCGGCCTGGGATGCCCACAGTCGTTGATTGTAAGGTGGTCGTCGGCAACTTGCTTTATGGACCTGACCTGAGATATCGGAGCTGAGAGGATGTTGGCCTTTAGGATTGCATGCTTGTAAGCAAGCACTTGTACGGGGCCATGTTCGATTCGCTTGTTGGTCAGACTGATGTAGCAGTCCACGTGGCCATACAATCAAGGAAGCACCTCCTGGCGAAGAAGGTGATAACTTGAGGGCTGCATGAATTCGTTGAAACATACCGCAGTCCATCAAGCGGATTTGGCATGCATAACTTGCAAGAGAGCTCAAGCGAGCAACGTCCTACACTCATCTATGACTCGTTTTGTTAGTTGTTTTAGTAGTAGTCCATCATCAGGTGAAAGGTTCGCAAAGATAGCGCGAAGGGGTGTGTTTGCAGATCAGGAACGGTTCGCCTTTGAGAGACAAGACACAGCAGCGACAGCCAGCGACAGCTGCAGGAACTTCATTCATTCATTCATTCATTCAGCCAGTCATTGAGAAAGCAAACAGCAAGCATCCCTATAGCGACTGTGAGCTGGGGAACACAGAACTATCATTTTTTTCCCTCTATCAAGCCTTAGGTGTAAACAGACACTTGGTGATGTGGGTTTTAGGCTTGAGTAGGGTCGGCAAAAGCGTGCGAAGGGATAGCCAAAGATGTGATTTTACGGATCGCTTTTCCACACCGCTGAGATGACAAGTCATGAACCAACCTCCCCAGTCCTGGCCACCGATCCCAAGTGCTCAGCAGGCAATAGGTGTTTTGGTGCCAACTCCGCCACGTTGATTGCTTGGTGACTATAGCTAATCGATGCTCACTGTTTGCGGCTTTTCCGCAGCCAGGGCTGGGCTTTTGTTCCTAGACCTGGTCCTAGTGAGACAAGTCGTGTTTGCGAAACAGAGCATGCTAGCCAGATGGAGATGGTGCTCTCGGCAAGACTCACAGACTCACAATATCGAATTGCATCAAGTGATAGGGCCTTCGCAAGGATGCACCGGATCTTGCGAGTGTGGTCAAACAACAATTTGCAGTTGTTTTCCACAATGCTTTGGGCTCTAGGCAGCAAAACCCACGGGGTATAGGTGTCGAGAACGCCTCAAAGAAGCCCCGCGCAGCGGCATGGCCTTGTCGCTGCTCAGAGTGGTGAGATTTATGCTGGGCCCTCCAGGGGTCTGAACCTTGGCACGTCCGTTCAATTCTACTCATGGGGCATCCCAAATGATTTCAAGCATGGATCAAGGCAAAGGTACGATCGCAGAAGAATCTGAGAAGTCTGAGGTTGAGGTGTATGTGTGTGAGTACAACATAATATGTCCTGATTTGATGGTATAATGATACATGTTGAACCAGTAGAAACTCACATGGACTCTTGCTTTTGAGGTCCCTCTTTGGATTGTACTAGCCTTCGATACCATCATGCTGATGCTGGTGTCGTGTGTCATCCTTTTGCACGGGCCTAACTTTCATTTGGCAGATCACCACAAGCCTTGCAAATCAACTTTGTGCCAACCAAGGGTGCTCCCAAAGAAAATGCTATCCAAGTCAAAGCTAGTGCGAAGTGCCCGCAATAGGCTTGAGCCTCAGCCCCATCTTTGGCTAAGATGACATGTATGATTTGCCGGCATCGGTTTTGGTTAGTTTTGCATAGCACAGTTCTAAAAATCCATCAAACATCAAAGCATGTCCTTTTCATCCAATATGCCTTGGCTTCAGGCTAGTTCGCTGGCTTCACAGGATGGTGGAGCCACTGCCTTCAATGCTGAGAGATTGATTCATTATCTTCTTTGTACATCATGCCTGCCTCAATGTGTTTTCACTTGTTGTTTTCCACCAGAGTGCTTTTTTAAGCTACTCCCGCCATGTCGGTGAGAGACTCCTTGTAGGGGCGAACAACTCCAAACAATTCCTGAGGCTGTCGGTCCAGGGCCCGCTGGCGACCCAAAGCATATTGTGCATTGGATGTGTGTGTGTGTGTTCTTGAGGGGGTTGGTTGCTAGGAGGTAGCTTACAAGTAGCTACGTAAGAGGTAAGAAGTAGTGCGCCAGGGCGCTCTGTTTGCTCAGACTTCTTCAAAGAAGCTCCCCTTTCCTGTTCTATCAGCCACTTGCTTATCAGGTTGGTCGTGGGGACTGTTTGGCTCGGAAGGAAGTTTGGAGGAGGTAGTCGCACCCTCGGAAGCCGGGGTTTGGCTGCATTTGACATCGAATCTCCAAATCACCTCGTCTTTGGCATGGATTCTCAAAACCAATGTGCCAATCAGGGCTGTCCAATGTCCCCAAAGCACCTCACGCAGCTTGGTGGCATAGTGTGACCTTACATAGCCGTCTTACGTAGCCAGGCCCCAAGGAACGGATGGATCGTCAAGTGTACGGACTGCGTGGACAATGTCTTGCTACTAGTAGTATGTACTAGTAGCTTATTGTTTCTACTAGCTTCTTGTTACTACTAGTAAGGCACTTGTTACTAGAAGCGATGCACTTGTTACTAGTAGCTGATTGTTTGTAATGGCCTCCAACCTAGTAGCTTCTTGCTACTACCATTGGCCTGTGGCCTCTCAGGGCGTTGCAGCAAAAGCAGAAAGTATGAATGATGCCGCGGGCTCGGGCATCGTCGGATAGTACTTGTCATGCAACAATAGACCGATATGTAAGTTACATGACACCTTTTGGACAGTTGGTCCACAGTGTCATCAGCCAAGCTACCAAAGTGACATGACTTGGATGCCTCAAGGTTTGTATCAAGTTCTCTCCCACCAAAGGGTGGAACCTGTTCCACGAGGCTGCTCCTACCTGCAAGCGAAGTAAATGATACTGATAATGGCTGCTATATAGCTAGTGTATTTGCGTGATACTGGAGGAAAACTTTGTGGTCTCCTTTGCACGGGATGGTTGCGATCTTTGGCAAGAGCACCTGTCTCAAGGATATCTGGATGCTAGGATTGGCCTTTAGAGATAATGCGTGTGGAAATGAACGCTACAGGCAGTCGTTCAACAAGGACAATGACTGTGAAGACCTCAGTGGCCAGCCCGACATTCTTAGTCCTTGGACGTTTGGCCACTTATTGTTTCAAATGATGGGTAGAGACAGTCCCCCAGGGAAGTTGCAGATCACATGCGGCATAGCTAGCTTTGCAGATGAAGGGTCTTGATGTGTAGGGTGTAGGGGACCTCCATGCGTTGGTTGTAGGCTATCAATGGCCATTGCTACCATAGATACATATATATATATATATACATATACTTTTTACATAATCTATATATATTGCAATTTAAAACAGAAAGAAGGACACTTGACAAGCGTTCGAAGGTGTGATGTGTTGCAATGAGCCCGTATCAGCTATCACATTGCGCCATGCCAGGCAGCCTGAAAAAGGGCGACCGCTTCAAGCCTGAAACCCATACCCACTGACAAGTATGCAAAGTCCATCAATTACAGTAGGACGATGTAGGACCTCAGTAGGACATCCGAATTTGCTTTTGGCCGAATCCATTTCAGGGTGGTTATTGCAGAATTGCAAGGAGCTCAATGGAACAGAGTGGTAGGATAAGAGATGGTGCATATAGAATACAGCTGACTGCAAATAGCAACGAGCCTGAGCTGGTAGAGGTAGGACGGTCAACATTTACGAAAGACTACACAAGTAAGGAGATGGACATGGGATATCAAAACGCGGGCTCTATACAGCTGAAATACGACGACACTCTCAGACGGTAAACTGTTTAAACTGACATCCTCAGACGCTCACCAAATCCTGATGTCCTTGAATTATATAGTAATTGTTTTTGACCCATGGCTCATATACAAGATTTTGATAGGATTTGAAGCATGTGATTTGAAGCAAGTGGGGCTTCTGAACCAACTACAGCAGGAGGGACAGAGAGAGAGAGAGAGAGAGGGAGAGAGATTGTGCAATAAAGTGCTATCGGCAGTGTCTCAGCCTTTGCCTCAGGCCAGCGTTTACCCGGGTCAAGTTTCGGGTGTGCCGAGCACCAAGCAGACGGCAAAAACCACAGCTTGAAATAAACAGACGAGGAAAGGAGCCAAGCTAAAAATAGCACCAAGGTGCAATCTCATACTGGGGCCGTGGTCCTTGGAGCAAGGAGGCTACTGGATATATACGCAATTTGCGAAATTGGAGTAGCGTTGCAAGGTGTTCCTAGGTTGCACAGATACGTGCAGCTTGAACATAGACTGACCAGGACTTGCTAAAGACTTTTTAGTGGGTGGAATTGGCCATATAGCCATAATCAGCTCAATCCTCGAACGCAGTCTGGGATTGTGGTCGAATGACAGGTGACCATCACAACGATGGCAAAGCCCTCCAAGGATTTGGGCTTCACAGGATCGCTGGGCCCAGCCTGGGAGAAGACAGGACCGGAGCGGTTGATTCTACCAAAGCTTTTGCACACTTAAGAGAGAATAGTGCAACATGGTTAAGACTTGCCATTGGGTTGGAGGCCATCGCCATATTAGATTGGAGGCCATCGCTATTAGGTTGGAGGCCATTACTAATAGGTTGGAGGCCATCGCTATTAGGTTGGAGGCCATTGCTAATAGGTTGGAGGCCATTGCTATTTGGTTGGAGGCCATTGCTATTAGGTTGGAGGCCATTACTAATAAGTTGGAAACCATCGCTATTAGGTTGGAGGCCATTGCTTGTAGGTTGGAGGCCATCTCTATTAGGCTGGAGGCTGAAAGACATGTAGTTATTTTCTTGTTTTCTTGAATTCACGAATCCGCCAGGCAGGTTAACAGATTGTTTACAAGCGGACGCTTAGCTCCTCCTGGAAAGGAAGTGGCAAGAAGGAGTACATTTGGCTACAGACCAGGAACGAGGTGAGAGCTACGCTGCATATGCACCGCATGCCTACTTTTGTGGTTTGATGGTAGCACTTGCAGGTGCATGTCAGGATACCTATCGGCCCTGAAGTTCGTGGTAAAGACATCAAGTCTTCCAGCTTAAACATGTGTGGCAACAAGCTCAACCTGGTGTTGAGACTGTATTGCTTGCATATGGACTTAGGTTCAGAGCCCAGCCACACAGGCTTCAGGTCGACCTAGCAGTTTGATTCCAAGGATGTCCGGCAGACATTTTCATTTCATAGCATCATTCTCATTTCACTACTAGCGCCTCAATGAGTGGTTGGTAGTTGGTGCCATTAGCACACATGTTCAGTAATTCTGGTGTTCGAGGTCGGTACGGAAGCTTTAGAGCTGCTTCACGGCTACTTGTCCGAAATTTGAGTTGAGCAACACTGAGAAGCCCACGTTGAAGAAAGGGACGCGACAAAATCCATGTTGTTTAACAATGGCTGCAGCAGAGACTTCACCGCAATCTTATTTTGAATGCGTCCCAAGTAGATAGGGGGTTGAGGAGGCAGTCTGAGCTTATTGGTTTTGAGGAAGCCTGGCAAATCGCATTGACTCTGATGATGCCACCTGGTACATTGACGAGTCCAAAGACGAGGGAAGGCTTGTGGTTGCAAGCCCGACACACATGCCACGCCGTTCAACATGTTGTTTTAAAGATCTTACAGGAAGATGATCCAAAATAACTTTCCTCAACTTTCCGATGTTGAAGGTTTATCCAAATCACCATCTTCAAGATCGAAGCCTTGGCCAGGACCGAGTGACCGAAGTGGGTTGGTTCCTTTGAGGGCAATAGGAAAGCAGCTGACCACACACTGTGCTGATTTCTTTGGCGATTTGGCAGAGTTTTGGCAGACTTATTCTGCATGCACCTGTTCATCCATACTTGCTCAAGACCCCTTTCGATGCTGGGATCGAAGTGTTGCATAAATTAAGGGTTGCCCGTACGTTTACAACGGTGACATACTGCTTGTGAAGGGCAACAGCCAAACCACTTTCATGTCATTGTGGCAAGCTGTGGCAACTTGCATAAGGTGTGTACCTCTCACAAATCCGCTCCGTGCTTTTTTGCACCAGGTTGAGTACTATGGAAAACTGAAATGACACATCAAGAAACTCTTGTCATCTAGATTCTTTGGCGGAAATAATGTAACTTTATATAGTTTATTATTTGCAATCCTGGAGACCTTCGAAACTGATTTTGATGCAAGACCCGGAGGAGAAGAAACTTTAGGAAAAGCAATGTTGATTCTGGCAATCCACAATATGTACAGGTAAACCTCAGAAAGAGATTGCAGCAGCATGTTGTCAGGAGTCTGTAATTTTGTGTGTGTGTGCTTTCTTGACCTTTGCTGCTCACTCTACCCTGCAATGTAGGTGGACGCGTGTTTTTGAGGGCCTGATGCTCATTTGACGAAATGTCGATTATTGTTTATGTAGTTTGGCTGCTACAGAAGTGTGCACAATCGAGGTGACGACCACCCGGAGATCGACCCTCGCTGCGTGCAATGGTTTGTAGATCCTTTGAATCCAGGCTGGCTTAAGTTCTGCAATGGATTCTACAGTAATTCCTGTTTCCCTCAACAAGCTTGGATACGGAACGGGGGAGCCTTCACTCATCTTCACAGAGTGCTTGAACCGCAGCCTGCGTATACAATCTGGATAATAGGTTGCCACCCTCATTTCTGACTGCAGGAACTTTGGGTGACCTAGATGAGTCCGGCACCAAGATAATTAGTTTTTGAGGTCGAGGAAGATGTATATTTTGATTGCTCAATCAGGTAGTGTTTGTGAAGGACCAGGACGTGAGAGGCTTTCTGGCCTAGTTTCGAGCATGACGGGCGCTTAATCAGCTGGACCTGGCATGCAAGTTTGCTCGACAAACTAGAGCTTTCTAGAGCTGTTTCACCGCTGAGTGACAATGCCCAAGTTTGAAACCAGAGTCAATGACTCAAGAGACTCACACAGATCACAATGAGCGATACTGCATAATGATAGGCGGACAGTGCTGCAGAGGACATTGAAGCATGTCCAATATGTCCATTTCTAAAGCAGTAGCATGTTTTTGCCGTACTTTTTCCACCAGCTGTCTTGGCTCTCAAGTCGAAAGCTTGGCTGTCTCAACAAGATGCTCAACACGCGAAAGAAGTTGGTTAAGGACAGCAACGCACACCAGAAGTAGAAGAAGACGAACTTTCAAATGCTGACATGATCATGCCCAGTGTGGCACAAATGATGCTTCAAGATTTCAGACTGTCCGACGGTCCGTTTCCAAAGTTTATAGAGCTTGCTCGGAAATGTGCCTCACTACGGAATGATATGACAGATAGACTGACTGACTTTGCTGCTTGCTCTTTAGAAACTAAAAACCCTGAAGGAGAAGGGCGCAGCTCCCACAGAGTTGGACCAGGAGGTGGCCAAGGCCATTTTTGACATTGAGGTGTCTCCCTCATGCGACATCAAGACCGAGCTGAAAGATGTGTACATCTCCGGCGCCAAGGATGTAGAGGTGGGGAAGGCTGGCATGGCCATGGTGGTCCATTTCCCCTTCCGTGTGTGGAAGATTGTGAAGAAGATCCAGGGTCGTCTCATCAGAGAGTTGGAAAAGAAATTCAACCGCAAGCATGTGGTGCTGGTGGCCAACAGGACCATCCTCGA